TCATTGACTACATGAAAAGATAAAATAATTAACAACAATTTTAATCCATGATACTAGCAAGGTTTAAAAATGAATGCAAATACACAAACTTCAATCATTCAATATTACTTTTAATACTCCTCTTGAATGTAAGTAAGATTATCCAAACAAGGCAAAGAAAAATAAACCAAATCTTTTAAAATTCTAGTCCCTGTAAATCTATACTGGCAATAGATATATGGCAGTCTGTAAGTCTCATATTGCCTTAAAAAAAGTTGTAATTTTCACCATGATTCAGACTATCATTTGGTGGTATTAGTTATGTGTCCGTATAAAAAATAAATTTATATTATAACCTGAATACATTGCCAGTGATATCATACTACTCAAACTACAATTTATGTTTTACTTTTAGAAAATCAAGACGTTCATCCCTATTTGAAATATGTGAACTTTCTCACAGAAGTTACAAAAGGAAAGAGGGAAGTGATAGACTGGATGAAGTTAGAGAGCAAGAAGACCATGTACTTCAGTGCTTATTCTGTGAATTCTTGAGTCTCAGATGATTTTAACCCAGAGGTCCTTAACTAGACACCTAGTTTTAAAAATCTGGATAAAGTTCCAAGATCACTTTCAAGTCATCATCTTTAAATTAGTCTTTGTATTCACCTAGCATAGATAAAAACAAACACTTCAAAACTATTAAATGGCTGGGAAGAATTAAAAAACCATTGATATTTATAGCTTTAAAGTATTTATATGCTGCCACTGTAAAAGTTCCTTGAAAAGTCATGAAAATTATATAAATTGAACCATTTGACCCTAACAAAAGTATTATATGGAAGATTTTCTATAGAATAAGAATTGCTTACTCATAATTTAAACATGGAAGAATTTTTTAAAGAACAGAAAACTGATTATTAGCTATAATTTGAAAATATTACCTAATTATTAATTTTGTATTTATATACAATTAATATTATATTTATCTCTATATTGGTAAATTGTAGTAGATTAATAACACTGTTTAGTAGTTTTTTCAGTTCAGAAACATGAAATTAATAAGGCTTTGAACTATATTTCAAATTTATTACAACGAACATAAATATTCTGTAAACCAAATATTCTGTAAATTAATTGGGAATACATTTTTTTGGAAAGCATGGCCTGTAGATAGTAAAGCTAAATCACACATTAAATGGTTAATTATAAAATGGCAAAGGTAGAAACAATAATTATGAGCACAAAGTATGAAGCAGATATGTAGATTTAAAATTGTTTATGTGGGGAGAATCCATCTTATTCAACATTAAATAATTTTATTTCCCCCTACATCATGTTAACCATTAGTCTTAAAAACCCACATTGGATTTTATCAAGTAAATTGTTTTTTACAAAAAAACCCATACATTAAAAATCAACATTGGTCTTTTTTGACATATATGTACTTACTGTACAAGATATACAAAACATAATAGCTGACTTGTAACAAAGGACTGAATGCTAGTTACAAAAATTATACAGATATTTGATAAAAATGTCAAACAAAACAATTAACAAAGCAGGAATTTATATGCAAAATAACTATAGTACATTTATCAGTAAAAATTTGGTACTGGAAATTTTGAGGATATAGTTTCATTTCAATTTTTATACTTTATTTAAAAAGTGATATGATTTAAATATTGTTCCTATCAGTGAAAAAAATTATGTAAGTTTAAAAAGGGCAATCAAGAGTCACATCAGTGCTCATCAGTGTAACATTAATAAAGGAGTAATTCAGTTAATAAATATGTAAATTTATCAATCTAAGGAAAAGATCTTCATAGCCTTTAAATATCTAAAGGTATAATATCTGGTATGCTTTTAATATGTTTGAAAAAATTGGTAAGGCTTCTTTTGTAAGGAACACACGTTAGGAACTATGCTGTAGAATTTTTCTCTGATTTCCCAACTAAACACTCACTTGTTTGATGCGATCTGGATTAACGGTGGTCTGGGGTTGTAGAATGCTGACGGGTTCCGTCTTGGCCACATTTTGGGGCATTTCTCGAATTTTTTCTGCAATGAATCCATGAACTGCATTCAATGCTTCCACTGTTCCCTGGATCAAGCACACTCGCTCAGTAGTACCTGGAGACAGAAGACCACTTTTCAGCAAACATTCCTTCACATTTTCTTTCCTTTTTTATTATAAAGAGAACAAAATAACAACATAGACAAAACCAAAACAACACAAAAACAATAAAAATCATACAGGGTTTCAAAACTAAATGACAAGAATTAATAGTGGCTGTTATATTACATATTGTTATCTTCAGTGAAGTTGCTCACATTACTAGATGTAAGAATGCAATAACAATCAAACCATTAAAGAGAATAAAAATAATAAAAAATACCTTTAGAAATGATACAGAACTTCACCAAACAAGATAGTAGGAGTTCATCAATGGTTGTTATATTGCATACCGTTGTCTTCAAATTAGTTGTTCAGATTACCAGATATAAGCATGCAAAATTGGTCAAAAAATTTACGCATTAACTGTTCCTTTCAATAAACCATTAGACACCAGCAGTACAAGTATCGAAGCTATCCTTCTATACACATATAGATTTTTTTCCCTTCCTTCTTTCTTTTTCTCCTCTGGTTCATCCCAGTTGTTCCTTCCTTTGAGCAATTTCTTTCCCTTTCATATTATCTACTGTGTATTTTGGGGTTTATTAACTTTCAGGTTCTTATGCAAATTATAATTTCAATAAAATAAAATAACGAAAAGGTAGAGCTCTATATACATATCCCTTTTTATTACTTTTATTCATTCTTTTCTTATTGTTGTAGTTTCAAAAAGGGTCTCTGGATTCTGGCAGCACCAGAGATGTAGAGAATTTGTGAGCATATTAGAAATTCATTGACCTAACAAAAGCTGAGTATTTAAAGAGGCAGTTCCATTTCAAGGTCTTAGGGTTAGAAATTGGTGACAACACATGGACCTGTTTTTCAAAGAGCTTTCTCTTTATAGATAAAAACACCAAAGCCAATAAATATAAGACAGTGTAATATGAAAACTAAAGAAGTATTATAATGGGTGGTCCACTGGGTTCAGGGGTGGATCCCTTGGAAAGTTTACACAGTAAATAAATTTCTAAATTTATAACACCTTCTATTTATTTTCCGTGTTCCTTTTTTTTTGGTACCAGGAATCGAACTCATGACCTTGCACTCACCAGGCAGGTGCTGGGCTGGTGGGCTCTTTCCCCAGCCCCTCCATGTTCTTTTAATTGCAGTAATAATCACTACCTGATATTTTATATTTATTTTTATTTCTTCACTAGAATGAAAGTTTCATGTGGACAATTAGTTTTGCTTTGTGCTGGAGAATCTCCACAAGCTACGATAGTCTCAGTCCTCAGTAAATGAATCAATGCTATCTTTACTTATGATGTATTTTTTAAAAAAGCAGAATATCAGGATTAAAAGAACATTTAAGGGGCTGGGGATTTAGCTCAGCGGCAAAAGCGCCTTCCTGGCAAGCGCAAGGTCGTGAGTTTGGTTCAGTTGATAAAATATTATTTATGATATTTGTTTTTTATTAAATAGATAAAATATACACAGGATTAAAATGAAATTGGCTGGGTCATTCACACAGGTTCTCTAATCAACTCTAATTTTACAAATATACATTAAAGCAAAGAAAATAAATGATTATTTTTTCAGACTATTGTAAGTTTACTGCAGCAGCCTAATATTCAGTGGTAATCATTTCTCCATGTCCCAAAAGAACAAATGAACTCAGTAAACTCAGTTCTCAGAAATCTTTCTTTTCCAAAGAGTTGTAAAAGAAAAAAATCAAAAGATAGCATTTCAAAGTTTGTGAATTCTTTTTGAATTAATATGTGTACTTTCAAGTACCTACAATTTACCCTTTTGATGTTTACTGTTTCCAAATTCTAAACCACTCTGTAAAATTTTTAAATGTATTTTTAGTGCCTACTGGTTTTGTAAAATACTGAGTTTCAGTGCGGTATTTTCATGCTCGTAACATATTTAGGTCATCCTCAAGACTCTTCCTTGCATGCTTCCCCTCCCCTACTTTCATCTCCTTTCTTAGGAAGACTGTAAAATAGCAGGCTCTCTTCTATGTCCATGCCATCTTTTTTTTTTTAAAGATTGCATATATTAGGAAAGTTTATACAATTTTCTTAAAAAATATATTGGGCAAAGTTATGAAAATATAAATATTCAAAATAATCACATGGAGTTTATGTTGCTTCAAAGATTATGATGTACAAACCATTTTTATAGTAAGTTGAAATTTAAAATAAGTGTAAAATATTATTCTAGAAAACACTGAAGAGTTCAAGATATAGGAAGAAAGTATAATTATAGGGGTATATCAAAATTAGATTCTCATAGTTTAAATAAAACATTCAAAAATAGAGTTTACTAGATTTTAGAAAAATTGCAATACAGAGTAAATATACCGGTCATTTGTAATGAAGGGTAGGATGTATAAAGTTTAATGTGAGTTTGTGCGCTTAACTTTGTTTCTCTTAAATAACTTTTCTTCTCCTTGTCTGTATTGTCTTTGTGGCTCTTGGGTAAAATCTCGTTTATACAGATGCTCCAGAGAGATTTGGTGAGACTGCATTAACTATCCAGGAAGCGAGCAGAAAGTGCGAGAACTCAGCACAAAACACAAAACGTAGGGCACGTTACATTATTGCTGTTTGGAAACAACCGAATACTCTTATATGGAAACTCAGAGTCTAATTTAAGTAGGATTTTAAAAAATACAGCATGGTGCTAAGTAACTAAAGATGTTGCACAACCCACATAGTTCTTAAAATTTAGATCTGACATAATACATTTCACATCTGACCCCACAGTAAACCCCAATACTGTTCAGATTATATAGGCTAACAAACAGTGAATGGAAATCACTGAACCATGATGAAATGACTGTCTGAAATCAAATTTTACATAACCGTGTAATACAATTTTAACATAATATTTTGTTCAGTTACAGTTCAAATTCTCTGGTAGTGAAAGTCTATAATTTATACTAGAACTACTCCAAAAAGAAGAAAGAAGAACAAAAAAGGAGAGCAAAAAGGAGCGGATACATCTATCACTGGGAAACAGTACTATCCCCAGAAGACACGCAGGCATATTCTTCTACTGAACTCTAATGGCCTTTTCACTCAGGTAAGACAAAACCATAATTTTTAGGAGGAAATCACAAAAAGGAATCCTGTCAGATATGTGACCAAACTATGTAACACAAATGAGCCTATAAATCACAAAAGTTGCTAGATTTTGTCATTTTAAAGGCTTTCAGACTCCATTACTGTCTAAACTGAACTGCCACTTATTTATCATTTTATTTGCTGAACAGTAGCATTTACTTCTCTTTGCAACAGACTAGTAACAAAAGCCAAAAATAAGCCACATAAAGGTACATTCCCATATTCTGCATAATGTAAAAATACAGGTGACTAAGAGAGTATCAATTTTAAATTATACTTTTTAAGGGACAAATTAAAAAGATTTGTAATTGACCCCACAAGGGGTCACTATCAAATAAAAAAGTCATACATGAAATCATTTTATTTCTTGATTTCACATGCAATGCTGAAAAAGCACAAGTTCCTGAAACCAGGTACAGTTACCAAACAGGTTTCACAGAAAAGTTCTCATAGACATCTAATGAAATACATCGATTCTATGCTGGCTTTGGCGAGCCCCTTAATCAGCCCTGCTCCTGTCTGGGGCTCTCAGGTACTTGAACACTAAGTCCTTCCCCAAGTCCTCCACACCTCGTGCTCTAAAAGCATAATTTGCCTTTTTGTATTATACCATTACCAACAACAGAAAATGTGGAATCGTTCCATTGCTTAAAGACATGGATGAGTTAGAAAACTACTCTTTGGAAATGTAATAAAATAACTAACTTAAGCAAAGATCATAAATGCATAGCATCAATGGATAAAAGTTAAATGGGAATTTTCAGTGAACACATCAGAGTGACACCAACTTACTTCGGTGGTCAGCACTACCATGATGAAGAAGGCGAGAACCACACAGTTTGGGCCTCACGATGTGATGCAGTATGAAGCGCAGGGCCAGTCATGAAGCATGTGCCCACAGGCAGCTGAACCTAAGTCCAGTGCAGCACTGTACTACTTTACACTTACAGCTAATACTCAGAATAACCACGGAGATGACACAATAAGAAAGCAAAAATATCAGTCAAGAATATAAGATAGTTTACAAAAATTAAGCAGTTTCATCAACAACGGATTATTCTACAGAGGAAAAGAAACTTAACTAAGGTCTTATGATCCAATGTAAGTTAGAGTTTGACTGAATCCAAATTCAAACAACTTTTATTTGAAACACAATTGAAGCAGATAAGAACTGAGTATTACACAGTATCAAAGAATTACTGTTAATTTTAAGTTATGATTATGATAAATTAGGAAAAAGCATTTTTCTTTTTCATTCTTTTCTTTTCTCAAGATGCATCCTGAAATATAGACTGGAAAAATCATGTGGAATAGCCAAAAAGAGTAAATGAAATACACATATGGTAAAATTTTAAATTATTGATACAGATGAAAGGCATAAAGAGATTAATTACACTGTTTTTCTTTTATGTATATTTGAAATTTTCATCAGAATGAAATTTACAAGCCTTCCTTGACCTCACGCGCTTATTCTAGTTGCAGCACTCCATTTCCTTACTCTGAAAATTTTTGAACTTTAAATATACTTGTTTTCCACTCCTCACTATGCAATCTTCAATCCAACTGAACAGGACTTCTGCCCCTCAACTCTACTCCACTTTGGCATTTGTCCTACAACTCCACTGAACCCATGCATCACCGTTACACCTAGACACACCCACTACTCAGGTCTGTGTGCCATTTCCCCATTACCAATGTATAATACTGTTTGCCATTCTGTTCTTAGAACAGTTCACTGGGCTTCCTAGGTTCTGGCTTTTACTCCATTCATTCACTTGCTAACCATTTACTGAGTTCCTGCTAAGTAAGTATTAGATAGAAGCTGAAGATACAGCAATGATCAGGCAACTCTTTCACTGTCCTGTGGAACTCAGAGTCTAGTCTGTGTAAACAAACACTATAATAAAACAAAATATACAGAGAAAATATCAAAAGCAAATAAATGATATTCAGAAAATTAGTGATTAATAAAAGACTGAACGAAGATAAAAAGGAAAGAAAAAGACTTCGCTATGTTTCCTTCTGTACTTATAAAACCTACGCACAGGACCTGGAACATGATAAGATGTTCAGCAAGTTTTTCTGAGTAAATGAACTAACTCTGTGAGTCTAGATTTTCTTCAGTTTGGAAACATATATACAAGTGAATGATTAGTGTCTATGGCGATTTGATCTATAAAACATCTGTAAAGCCAGTAAGTCTATTTGAGTTTATGAGATCAGTCAATGCATATGAAAATAAATATATTTTAGGAAATTATTTAAAACTATGAGTTATAAATTCTGTATCTTTATGTCCATAAAAAAGGGCACTCAGTAAAAAGATCTTAGGCAAAGATACTAGGATATATAATAAATAATTCAACAGTTTATTTTTGAGATTAAGCATGTAATTCACTCTAATAATGTTAGGGGGAAGAAGAGTACTTTTTGCTGTCATCTAGTAAAAAGTCTAAAAGTTCTAGATACATGAGACCTATTTCAAAGTAGAATGTGTCTATTACAGAATAATGGGCGTACACTATTGGGCTGACCCACATACAGTATTTCAAACCTATGAGGAAAATTATTAAACATCTTACTTGAATATAAAAAAAATTACTTAAGTGTATACAGGTCAAGCATCCTTAATTCAAAAGTCCAAAATCTGAAATTCTACAAATGTAAAACTTTTGGAACGATGCTGAAAATTTTCCAACTTTGGAACATTTCAAATACCAAATTTTCAGATTAGGAATGCTCCACTAGTAAAGTCTAGACAATCCTCTTAAATCTAAAAATCTGAACATTGGAAAATGAAATATTTCTAACCTCTATTCCTACTGAGAATATGACTACTGTAGAATCAAAATGCAGACACATTATTGAACTCTACAAGAAATACAACTGCTATTCAAAAGCATGGAATCTGGCTGCAAAACATCTCAAAATGTAACATCAATACAATAAATCTAACAGCATGTTTATTAATATTTCTGTGGTAACCTACAGACAACACTTTTGGGCTCAAAACTAACTGAAGAAAATGGAAAGGCCAATTAATTCTGCGACAGGTAAAAACTGACTTTTAAAATAATACACAATATTTAAGTAGTTTTTCCAGTAAGAAAACAGCAACTTACTGTGCTGAGAAATTACTAATTCCAGACAGCTATTATGCTGGATAGGCAAACCTTCTTTCTTTCAACAAAACTTTAGCTTCTACCATTTCAAGAAATATCTCCCAATGTATTATGTATTTTCAAGTATATTTAATATTTTCTTGATGTTCAAGATCAATTATATAATTCTGGGTAGTAATAAAGTAGAAATTTTTAGATTTCCTTATGAATTTACATGCATTTACACAAATAGTGCTTTTCCCTCCTTTTCTTATTAGTGCATATTTGCAATACATAATAGGAATACTCATCTTGGGGAACTGGTAGAAATATATGCAACACCTTGAACTTTTATATAGGGGCCTTGTGACAGGTATCTGTCTTTTGTAGTTTTCATCTCTCTTTGGTTGTCATTTATCCCTGATGTTTGTTAGCACATTTAATTATAACAGGGTCCTCTGCTTCTAATCTTTAATGGGTTTATAAACAGCCAAGCAAAGCTGGTCAAATTATATAAGCTGTTAATAAAACTTATTTAAAACGATAGGGAATTCTTGACTTTTGTAAGACTTAATTTGACTGGCATTTTTGGGGGGAGGGGCCTTTATTTCCTAATTTGGGATCAGTATCAATAGATAAAATATTAACTTTAATGTTTTTCAAATGTTTAAAACTGTATGAAGGTATGTGAATTTTATAAATTATAAGAATGTCTCTTCTATAATAAAGGAAGCCACAATGAAGTGTTCCAGTATCCTCAACCTACAATAATGATAATTACTTGTGCTACGTTTTTATGATTTTAAAAAGTGTACATATTAACTCATCAACTTCCTTTTAGTTTAATGATTAAAAGTAAGGGATCATCAGTACCAGCTAATGTCATGTTTTCTCTGTCATTAGTATGAAATGTGAATTACTAAAAACCAGAGAATAAGAGTAATTGCAATGGTAAGATTAACAGATTAAAACTGTTGAAGAATGCTCACCCATGATTTCATTTTAATACACTTCCTTTCCACAGACCATGTTATGATGTCTATACTATACCATCCATAATCACCTATACATGAGAAACATTTGTTATTAATGCTTTTATAAACAGAATATTCACGTGCATTTCTTAGAGTGCCATGTTTATTGCAGTACTGACATCAGCAACAGACCCATTTAAAGAAACTCATGTGTTTGACAGACCTAATAATATAGTTGTAAAGTCTTTCAGAAGAAAATACATATTTCACTCATCTACAGAAATGAAGCAGTGGCACAGGCCTATAATCCCAGACTTGGGAGGCTGAGGTAGCAGAATAAGAAGTTCGTATCTCACCTGGGCAACTTAACAAGATCCTATCTCAAAAAAAAATTAAAAAGGGGTAAGAATGTAGCTTAGTGGGAGAATGTCCTTTAGTTTAGTCCTAGTCTCTCTCTCCCTCTCTCTCTCTCTCACACACACACACACACACACACAAGAGCAATGGTTAAATTAAAATTTTAAGCAATTTTATAACTTGCACATCAGAATATTATTCTAAATGTCTTAAACAGTGAGTATACTTTCTTATGTTTACACATCAGTTTATGATTTATACAAAATACACATTAATTTATATTAGCAATATAATTATAAATTATATATATCATTTTATATACACAGATATTCACAATCTAAAATCTTAGTATTCACAGGAACTAATATCATCTTCAATTTATGCATACGAGAATGAAACCAATACAGCAAATGCTGAGATAAGGTCCTATCAAATAATGATTTGTTTCTCAAGTGCACCACATACCTACTGAAAATGTACCACCAGGTCTGGCAGTGAATTAAAATATTTAAGAATGTCACATGTTTCAGCTTTTTTATGGAAAAGTAATTCTCAGGCAAGACTGAAATTTGTTTGTTTGTGGGGCTGGGGGTCGAACCCAGGGCCTTGTGCATGCTAGGCAAGAACTCTACCACTGAGCCACATCCTCTGCCCTGAAATTCTTAAAAATACACTAAATCATGTCAGTAATGTCTCTTCATAGTTTTAATCTAACACTGGCATAAAAATTAGAGAAATGATTGACCCTTCTTGAGGAGATGAGACCATCATGAGAGATGGTTAATAACTGTGTGGGCTATTAATATTATTTTTATAACACATTTTCAGATCAATAAATGAACTTGCAAAAAGTGCCATAAAATTAAGTTCAATTTGTAATTTCAGCTTTTAGACTACTGTAATGCTATGCACATTTGAAAACAGTTTCTAGCCTACAATTACGAAGGGCAAAATGCACTATTTTAAGAAAAGGCCACGGAGAAACACAAATCACAGGAACTGACATCTTATGGCACAGAGTAGTAATTACTTTTCTTCTCCAAGTGACTAAACTCTCTATATGAAAATGTCTCTATTATACTTTTAAATTGTAAAAATTTTTAAAATGCCATATAACATAATTTAGTTTGAAGGTAACATATTGAAGGTTTGAGTAGTTGTTTATAGAATATGCTTTAACATTAAAATATATCCAAGCAAGCCAAAGGATAAGTAGATACTTTTCAGAAAAATCTAAAGGATACTCATTCTTCAGCAGTCTGAGAAAGAGGAATGAATGGCAAGCAAATTAAACACCGTTTAGCTCCAAACTACTTGTTCAATGTCTTATGCATGCAAATGGCATACTAACTTAATTAGTCATTCTCATAATGAAACATTATCTGCACAGGAAATTTTAACTTCTCAAAAAACCCTGAAACCAGACATATCCAAAAATTTAAATAACAACGATAATTGCTCACATATATACTGTAATCCATCTCCAGATTCTAAGCTGTGAAGCAATGCAGAAGTTCAAAACAACGGCTGGTCATTCAACCTTAACACAGTGTTATTCTAAATTTAATATCATTACAACACTTCCAGTTTGGTCAGTATTACTACCTTTCAACTTTTAACATGAATTATATGCGTCTAACACGGCCAAGAAAAATTTCATTGGACATTTAATTATATTCTTATATATACAAATAAAAAGACAGTTGCTGACTTGTCACCATCCTAATTGTGCTTATCGTTTCTGACACTGATTTCTGCTCTCAATTTCTGCTGTAAGAAAAATATCATTTAAAAATCTTCTAGCTATCCTTATGTTCTAAGGGAAATTTCTTGGCATAATTTTACAGACTACACTTGGGAGCTGCAGAAACACTGCAACAAATATGGGACACAGGATCAAGATCAGAAATTCAGAAGTGCGGAGGCACACACAGCAAAGTCACGTGACGATAAGGGCCACCTGGCGGGGCAGCAGCCTGGAGCACAGCTGCCTGTCACCTGAGAGAAAAAGCTCTCTTTGGTGATAACCCCATTTCCAACATTTCACAAAGATATCACCTTTGCGATCCAATAAAGATTACACAGAAACTATTCCTTATTTTCTAAGAAGAGTTATTTACACAATGCTGTATAATGAGCCCCTAGTTAATATGAAGGCAACGGCCACAGGTCCCCAGGTTTCAAGAAGGAAGGAATTATTAGAGTCCGAGAATGAGTAACAGGTATCAAAACTGTTGAACACATGCACTATATCAAGTAAAGATAAAAGTGTGAAGGACGACAACCCTTTCTTTAACTTGCCAAAAGAAGAAAAATGCAGGAATAAATTTAAGAAGCTTGGGAAAATGACAGAAATACTAAACTGTATGTAATTTGCATTAAAAATTAAAAGGCATTAAGTTGGGGCAGTTTCTGTGTGTCAATATTATATACAATGGCAATTAAAATATTTTACATACAACAAAACCCTGGCCATTTTAACCATTTTAGGCATGTAATTCAGTAGTAGTAATTATATTCAAATCACTGCCCAAGCACTCCTATTTCCAAACTTTTTCATCATCCCATAGATGAGCTCAGTTACTATTAATAAATATCTCTCCTTCCCACGTGCCCTGGTAACTTTTAATCTACTTCTCTCCCTATATGTCTGTCTAATCTACATATTTAAAATAGGTAGAATAATACAGTATTTGTGCTTTTGGGCTGCTTTATTTTACTAGGATGTTTTCAAGGTGCATTCTTGCTATAAAATATATTAAAATTTCAATCCTTTTTGAGTGAATAATACTTCATTCCATTTTATGTATACAGCATTTTTTTATCTGTTTATGGATGCATAACTCACTTCCACCTCTTGGCTGTTGTGAATAACACTGCTATTAGTTTCTAATTTTGTTCTTTTTCAAGACTTTCCCTGTTGGCACATTTTGTAATTGACTGCCTTTTCTGTTGTAAGTTTTTAGAAGGTCTTTTCATTCTGGATCTTACATTTTTGTTGATTTTTATTTTTTATTCATATATGACTGCATTCCTCGTGGGGAGCTGCTACGTGTATGTATCCTCATCCTTTTTACCTTTCCTTCCCCTCCCCTCCCTCCCTCTCCCTCCCCCTCTCTCCCCTTTGTCTCCTCCCTTTTTGCAAAAGATCTATCCCCCTATTTCTTATTAACTCTTATTTTGCTTTTTATGTGTATTTTGGGTTTCTCATATAAGAGAAACCACGTGACATTTAAGCTCATGTGTCTGATTTATTTCACTTAGCATTATGGTTTCAAGTGCATCCATTTTCCTACAAATGACTCAAGTTTATCCTATAATATGGAAGAGTAATACTCCACTATATATAAACACACTTTATCAATTCATGTGTTAATAAAACACATAGGTCACTTCCAAGATTTAGCCATCAAGAATTGTGCTGTTAAATACACAGGTATACATGTAATACTGAAATATGATGTCTTTAACTCAGGAAGATACCTAGAAGGGGAATAGCTGGGTCGAAAACAATTTTTATTTTTAGTTTGGCTATTAAAATTTGATTTATTTGTATTTTCCCTTTTTCTGAAATTGTCTTTTCACTTTTTTCCTTTTGTGCACAGAACTGTTAAAATTTTAAGAAAGTTCAGTTTATTTTATTTCCTTTGGTTGTTGCTGCTTTTTGTGATACATCAAAGAATTTATTCTGTAAATCCAAGGTCTCAAAGAACTACCTAGGGGCCGGGAACATAGCTCAGCAGTGCAACCTGGCAAGCGCAAGGCATTGAGTTTGATTCCCACTACCAAAAAAAAAGAACTACCTTTATGTTTTCTTCTAGAGTTTTACGGTTTTAGCTCTTAGATTTAGATCACTTTTTTTTATTTTAAGAGACCTTCTTTTATTGGTGAGTTGGGGGAATCTCAGTACATTATGCGCTGCATACAGGATGGTCTCCTGGGCTCAAGCAACCTCCCTGGCTCATTCCCCTAAGCAGCTGGAACTACAGATGCATGACTCTATACATTAGCATTATTTGAGTTAAGTTTTATATGTAATGTGCAGTAGGATTCTGACTTCACTTTATGCCTGTGGGAATTGTTTGTCCAGCACCCTTTGCTGAAGAAACTGGTCTCTTCCCACTAAAAAGAGTTGGTACCCTTGTCAAAAGTTAACTGGTCATCAGTACATGGGTTTATTACTAGACTCAGATAATGTTCCATTATTTTATATGTCTATGCTTATACAATCAGGAGTCTGTTTTGATTAGTGTAGCATTATAGTATGTTCTGAAATTAGAAAAACAATATTTTCAGTTTTGTTTTCTTCTTTTTCAATACTGTTTTATATATTCTGTGTGTCAATATTATATCTATATCTATATCTATCTTTATAATTCCATACGATTAAAGATCAGGTTTTCCACTTCTAGAAAAAAAGCTTTGAAACTCTGATAGGAATTAAAATGAATCTGTAAATTCTCTGCAGTAATACTGACATCTTAATAATATTCAGTCTTTCTGCCCAGGAAATGGGTTGGCTTTCATTTCATTAGAACTTGCTTTTTACCTCTTTCTTCAAGGTATTTTATTATTTTAGGTATCTCAGGAAATGAATTGCTTTATAACTGCCTTTTCAGATAGTTGATTGCTGGTATATAAAACACACTGTTTTCCTGTACCCTGCAATTTTGCTGAATTTGTTTGTTAGTTTTAGTACCTTCATGGTAGATTCTTTGGGGTTTCCTATATATAGCACTTTATCTACGGAGACAGTTTTATTGATTCCAATTAGGATACCTTTTTGTTTTCTTGTTCTTTTATTCTCACTAGAACTACTGATATAGTAGTGGTGAAAACAGAACTCATTGTTTTCTTCCTTATTACATAGGAAACCTTCCAGTAATTACTATTGTGATGTCAGCTATGAGTTTTCCCTTTATAATACTGACAGAAATTGGCAATATTTCATCAAGAAATAAATTACAAACCCATCACTACCTCATCCTGGTGTTCAGTGTTTTTCTTGGGCACTGAAGCTATCCTATGACCATGATACTGAGAACAAACAAAAAAATGCAAATAGTTATAGCATACTATCATACATTTAAGTAAAAAACATAGGTTTGAGATTGAAGGTGAAGATAGAAATTGTTCAAAATTCTTCACCATATTTGCTAAAAGTTGCATCATTTTATACAAATAATGAATCATTATTCAATATTGAAGAATAAGTTATTACAAATGAAAGACTCTCAGAACATTTTAAGAGTTATTAGGGCTAAAGTTGAGACATGAAAATAGATAACACATGGATTGGATACCTTTGTGACTGCAGCTTAGAACAGGTGTTGTGTTTCTGTGACGCAATGAACTGAACTTACAGTTCTGAGTAACTCTGAACTGAATTACACCCACTGTAATTTTAAAAATGTTTCATAGTATTATAAACTGGGGTCCTATACTTCCGTAACTCCAATTCTTATTTTAAATAAGCCTCTGTCCTTTACCTCTTTTATTCTGAATTATTAAAATGTTATGAGGGAGGCATGCTATAACTGACAGAATCCCAGGTTAGACATTATTCAGAACATAACAGGTATTCCCTGTCGGACGCATACACGCAGTGACATAGAAATACACAATTATTTACAGCCTCAAAACTCCTGACTCCCAGGTTGGTCCTGCTGACTCTAATCCACTTGAAGACAGATCCTTGGACTGCTGGTCACTTACTGGCCTCTGGTCTGCGCGAAGACAGATAACTGGCTCTCTGTCTCCCTTTGGCTTTTCCATCAAAAAGGATCTCTTAGCCTTTGGTTTTCTATTTGCTGTCCCTGCAGTCTGGCTTTCAGCCTCTACTCATTAACCTGCTCCCTTTGAACAAGTCCTTGAGTAGTCCTCACTTAGTTCATTCCAGCCAACTCACCCCCACCATTAGTGACCGCAGCTCTTTAATATCTCATTGTCTGTACCTTCCCCCATCTAAGACTACCAAGTAATACAAAGAACCATACAAGGAAGACCAGTAGGTCCATAGCATTAAAATAATCCGGACTAGAACATGTAACTGCCTGTCTCCTCCATCGTTCCTCTTACTGTGTATCTGGTACAAGAAGTCTGACTTTCTTCAGTCACCAATGATACTCTCAGCTCAGAGCCTTCCCCACATCCCTGAACCTCACCCAGTTCCCAACCTCCCGTTTTCTACACCTCTTCACAGTGCCCTCTGTTCTCTCGGTTTCAGCATATGCCCCACATTCAAATGCATTTTTACAAAAGGTTCCTGTTACCGTCACCCATTAGGTAAACCCTGGCTGTTTCCTCGTCTCTTTGTATGCCGCAGACTACTACCACATTTCTCTCCTCTCCAATTTTAAGTTATGCTGAACCAAAACGTGTTTAGTTATACTTCCGAGTCCAATTTGCTACTTTCTTTTTCTCTCTGTCATCATTTCTCCTTTTCTTTCAAAATTCTGGAATCAAAAATTCAACAGGTGTACAAGTAAGAAGCAAAGTAAATGAGCTGCTAAAGTTTTCAGGCAAGACAGAATGGTTGGCATACTGTTAAATTACAAGCAATGAAGAAAAACATTCAGCGCTTTGGTGTTTCATATTTTTTCCATGTTTTCTTAAGGAAACAATTGCTTTTTTTGGTTCCTTGCTGCTACTCTCTTCCAAGAAAATTCTCACTTATTTTCATGATTGTAAATTTCATAAAAAATATATTATGTATTAACTTATTCTCTTCCTACTAACACTTTCCTAGTCTAAGCCTTCACTGTCTCTAAACAGGTCATTGGCCTGTTCAGTCTTTGCCATAGTCTGCTATAGTTCGTTAATAGTCTGCTAATTTTGCCCTCGTCTGCTAATTACCTGCTTTACTTTTTGCTCTTCTACCTCTTACTCCTTACTCAGAGTCGCTTTTAGAATATGCAAAAATCTCAGGTAACTCACCCATTTAAAACCAAGCACTTCTCATCTAATGTTAGAGTTAAATCTAAACCCTGTACTACAGCTTTCAAATCCATCAGATTTGTCCTCTGCTTAGCTCTCCATCTCATGTTACTCGCTGTGTTTTTCTATACTCCAGGGAGTCGGG